GAGTAACATAATTTATGTCATATGATTTTCAGCTCTGCCTATTTGTGGCTCTTGAATATTTCAGCTAAAGAAATGCCTTTAACATGACCTGTGAGCAACCTTTCTTAACTGGGAACAGTAAGGATTTGACTGTCTGAAAGAAGAGCTTCACCTTTAAACTCCAGCTGTGGTCCCTCTTCCTCGTTTCCCTCCTTTCTGTGGGTGCTGATTTCTCCCACCACAGCCATCAGCTTCCTGAATGAGGACGACTGATCTCAATAACTCAGAAGCCAAAACAAAACACCACCCTATCTTGTATGGAAATCATTTGCTTTCACTGTGATGTCAACGCTTCCTCCAAGAGACATGAAGATTCCAGGTAACCAATGACCACACAATATATTTGCATAAAGGAGCCATTGTCCAGTGATGTACATTTTAAATAAAGGGCCAAAGAAGATGCCAAGCAGAGTTCACTTTACCTCAGAAACTGAGAAATCCTTTTCGTTAATCAGTATGGCCAGGGTTCTACTTTTCTGTACACTTCTCAGTCTCTGTGCAGGTAAGGAAGTGAAGAGGTAACTTCATGCAAACTTAATGTTTAAAAAAAGAAATAGCCGTAATGTGTAATGATTACAGGAACATAATTTGCTGATATTCTAGTTCAGAGTATCGCATGTAATCTTCATCCCTTCCCTTTTTCTTTTGGAAAGGTGCCAATTCACAGCCGTCACTGACTCAACCTGCCTCCCAGTCTGTGTCTCCTGGACAAACAACGACCCTTTCCTGCTTGAAAGGCAGTGGCAGCTGGGGTAGCACTGTTTACTGGCTTCAACAGAGACCTGGGCAGGCCCCTCGGTATGTGCACTGCAATGGCTGCAGCAGAGGACCAGGGATTCCCGACCGGTTCACTTCCTCCGCTTCAGGGAACACCGGCTCTCTCACCATCACCAGTGCTGAGACTGGAGACGAGGCCGTTTATTACTGCTATGTCTGGTCCAACACTGCTAGCATGTTCCACAGTGTTACAGCCTGATGGGGAAGTGAGACAAAAACCTTCAGGCTTCCTCTCAAGAGAGAAGAAGGTTTAAAGCTTGAAGCACTTCATTCCCTCTTAATTTTGGGTTTCTAATTTTGACAGGAGGGCAAAGTTCTAAAAGTATTTAATTGTTGGCCCCAAAGTGTCCCCAGCTTCATGGGCCCACTTCTTCATTGCAAAATGACAACTTTCTGTCATAGTGAATATTTCCCCTTTGGCAACCGTTTGCATATTCCAGTTACCATGGAAATGAGGTGGGGCTCTGCCACCTCATCTCCTCAGTCCTC